GATCAGGTTAAAAGGAAAAAAAGGCTTATCTTAATAATCCTACATTGATAAAGTTTTGACCAGGTTTGGTATGCATAACTCAAAGAATGAGTTATTGCTTTATTGATATGGATGGCTCTCTCGAGTAAGTAGTTTTTCAAGACTATCAAAGGAGATTGAGCAAATGAGACTGGAACAATATGTTTCGGCATATGAGAGTCTCATATATGCCATGGTCTATACCAAACAGGATATCCGCTACATAGTAGGGATAGTCAGTAGAGATCAGTCCAATACTGGACTTGACAACTGGTCTATTGTGAAAAATATCATTAAGTACCTAAGGAGAATCGATGATATCATACTCATTTATGGATGTGATGATATGGTTTTAGTCAGGTATGCTAGTTCTGATTTTCAATCAGAAGTAAATACTATGAGGTTCATGACTTAATGTATGTTCACTTAATGGAAGGGAAATCAGTTGGTAGATTGTCAAGCAGATTTCAACTGTTGACTCAAACCTGCAGGTGGAATATATTGCAGCCTTAAAGGTGGCAATATAAGCCTATTGGTTTGATCTCACTGATTTAGAGGTTGTGGAGCATACTAGCCTGCCTATCGAGCTATATTGCGACAATAGTGCAGAAATAGTCCAAACCAATGACCCAAGGTTCCATAGATGAACAAAATACACTGATAGGAAGTATCATGTTCTACATGATATTGTCCGGCAAGAAAATGTACTTGTAGCTAGAACATTGCATTGGAACACAACTTTGTTGATCCATTATCAAAGGTATCATTGATCAATACTTTTGATCATCATCTGGATAACATTGGAGTTATGTGCAATTTGAATTGGCTATGAGGGCAAGTGGGAGCTGTTGGGATTTATATGCCCTGGCATAGCAAATTCCTGTTTGGATTAATTGACATATGTTCCTGACGTTTCTGAAATATTTATGTTTTATACAATTGGTGAATTCAATGTATTATATTTCGATTCACTATGAAATTGATAGTGTCCATGTAATTACAAGAAATATTTATATATATGTATGTGATGGCAATCAATGCATGATATATAAATAGTAATTATAAATTGTTCATAGTCGGTAATTATGGATGGACTCATAATTAATTAAGACTTGAACTGGATCCGCGTTAGGTTGAGATATATTGCGAGAGCCGTCGTATGCAATTACTCCCTATCACCGTCATGGCATTTGACTTTTAAGTATGAGAAAAGTATAGACTATTTTATTAATTAATAATTACTTTGATTTGTTCGGCGGATTCTTCGGGATCCTTAGACCGACACTTCGGGTAGTTATGTAATTAATAGTTAGAGGTTTATATTTTCAATATTTGCATCATTGCTACTTGTATTTATTTTGTATTGATTATGGTTGATCACAAAGTAAATTCGAAGGCCTTCGTATGATTTTAGACAAAATGATTTATTATATATTTATTTATTAAATTATTATTTTTGTCGAATAAATGTTTTATTGTGATCGAGCCAGAAATAATCAAAGGTACCAAAATAAATATATTAATTAAGTAGTCGGATTGATGGCATTATTTATCCGATAACTAATTATGCATAGAGGGGTCAAAGTGCAGCATTGACTTAGAGGTTATTTATTATTTAATTGGAGTTCAATTAATTTCTTTTAGTGGAGTAGAAATTAATTTATGAATTAATTTAATTGGGTCCATGGACCGGGCCAATCATTAATTCATTGTAGCCAATAAAATAATAGGCCCAATGGATTCTCACTTATAGCCCAACTTGATATTGGAATCATATTAGATTTGAGAAATGTGAATTAGAGATTGAGAAGGATTAGTTGTTTCCTTTTCTTTACCTTTATGTTGCCTATAAATATACATGGTCTATGTATATTTTAGGGGTGATTTTTATGAGAAGGAAAAAAGGAATAAATTTTCTCTCTCTAGAAAATTAGGGTTTATGTTCTCATCTAATGGAGGCTCCCACAAGCCTAGTTTTCCAAGGTAATTCATGGAAGCTTATGAGTGATTCTTAAAGGCAAAATAATTACCAAGAAGATGGAGATCCAAGGAGAAGGCATCTTGCTAAGGGATCTACAATAAGTGAGAACATTCACTTTAGAGGAAAGTTTTAAAGGTTTACTCAGACCTTTGATGTAAGTATTCAATCCATTAATTGAATGATACATCATATTTTTATTTTTGCATAAAACTTGTCTCTATGTGATGAATCAAGATTTATGAATCAAAATCCCTCGAAAAGTTTTTAAAACTTGCACGTTTCCCAACACAACCAGTTTCTGGCCTTCCAAATAACCCAAATACAAAAAGAAATCAAACTAAGGACCCCTTCAAATTTCGAGGAAACCAAAGCCCGTTGCACCATAAATCGCCATCCATCCCGAAAAGAAGAAAATGAAGAATTCAAAAAATTAAAACGCAACGGAGATACTTTCCACACCTGAACTGAATGGGGACAGGAAAAAACAAGATGCATAACAGATTCCTCATGCAGACCACAATGAGGACATAAAGGCGACACATCACAACCTTGAGCCAACAAAGAAACACGAACCGACAAAGCATTAATACGACACCGCCAAAGGAAGTGTTGCACCTTAAACAGAGTACGACACCGCCAGATGGAGGACCAAGAACCAGGGGAAAAAGCAACGCCAGAAAACGTGGACATGGAAATAGCCAATTTATAAGCAGACCGAACGAAAAACTTACCCGACTTCTCCGGAGCCCAAATAACAATAACCTGCTTATCCCAACGGCTGATATGAATTTTCAAAATTTCCTGAACCGTAGGCGGAGGGAAAAGCTGAACTAAGACATTCACTCGCCACAAAAACGTCGCCTGACAAATCCACCACAGAAGCAACAGAAGAGAAATGAGCATGAACTGAGGGTGGCGGTAGCTTATGTGGCAGTGCAAGGACCCAATGATTATTCTAAACATGTGTAGAGGAACCATTCCCTATCAAGGAACGTAAACCTTTTTGTAAAAAAGCCTGAGAAAACCAAATATTGCGCCGGCCCCATGAAGGATTAGACCCCAATCAGGCATCCAAAAAAGACGAAGATGGAAAATACTTTACCTTGAACAGCTGATATACTAAACCCGTCTTCGTAACCTGAAAATGCCAAGCATGTTTCGCCAAAAGAGCTAGGTTGAATGCCTCCAAATCACGAAATTTAAGACCACCCAAATTCTTGCTCCGGCAAAGAAGATCCCAGTGAACCCAATTTATTGCAAGCACAAAAAAATGAGATTTCATTCCAAGAATAGCGGATGTATATCAGTGTGCCTTGCACAAAAGGTACCAAAATGCATAACGCTTTAAACACGCGGTAAAATGAATTCCAAATCATCTTACAGCTAAGGAAAATTGCATACATATAAATAATATTAAACCTAATATCTTTTTGCTCTTTAGAATAACAACTTGAATATCTTTATGCACTTACCAAGAAAAGAGAATATCTTAATGCTCTTACGATAATGACTTGAATTATGAGATACCACTTGTTAAGACTCCATTAATAAAATAAATATTTCATGGTGGAGCCTTAAACCCGTATAATTCAAGTGTGATATATTTATATTGTTTTTCATAAACTTACTAATATGGTTTTGTTTTTGTTTTTATTTTCTTTTTGAAATTTGTTAGGAATAGCTAGTACGGTTTTATTTTTGAATTTTATTCTAAAAGTCATCATACTATTTAGAGATGAAATTAATAAATACAAGTATTCCATATTCGGGGTGAATTATTATTATTCCATCTTCACTTATTTCAGGTGAATTATTATTATTAATTTTTTTTAATTTTTTATTATTATTATTATTTTTTTTATCTTTGACAAGAAACATAACATACACCCGCTAGCTTTTTTTGTCCCTTTAAAAACTGGAACACTCATCGTTCATTTTCTTCGATAAAAAGAGATATTACTAAATCACAAGATCTTATAACACCTTGTTAGTGACCCTTTCAATCGGAGTTAAAATCTATAACCATTTGCTTAACTAGTATTGTACGCTTCAAGTCTCAACCGTCTTTAAAATTTTATTTTTGGATTTGAGGCCGTTGGCCGAGAGTGAACGATTTGCTGAAGCGCCATACAACATCTACAACAAAAATATCGGGTAGATACAAATGATTAAAAACACAGAAAATACCATCCCAAATCTAACTAACACCTCTTATAGTCAAGCTCAAGAGTCTTGACAAGCGAAAGAAAATGTATCAGCTATAGAAGGAAAACCACCACAACAAAAGAAAAAAACAGTGCTAGAGAAAGACCCCATGACATCACCCATGACGTCAGTGAGGAGCCCACCGGCGAGAGGACCAAACACACCAGCGCAGGCACCAGAGACGGTGTACGTCGGCAAAGGACGCATATGCATCAGATCCACGCCCAGCGCAAAATACCAAAAAGCTCCACAAAGGAGCAAACAAATAAACCCAACTTCAGCGACCCAGCAACCATGAACTGGCGAAAACGACGCAAATCAGGAGATCGGGAACAAAAACTCACGATGAAACGCGAGAGATGCTGCGCACAGCGAACCCTCGATAACAGCGAAGAGAAACAACTAAACATGGCATGAATCCACCTACCGAACAGACTATGTATAATACATCGAGATTATTTATCAGTGGATGGTCGCAATCAGAACCTCCCCACTCCCATGGGAGGGAGTGGGGAGGAAAGAGCCCATGGAAGTGGGGTGGAAAGAGGGAGGAAGGCAAGGAGCGGCTAGGGTAGAGAGAGGCCAGAGAAAAGTTGAGAGGGTTGGTGCAGTTGGGATTGAGAAATATTGACTCCCTAATGACAACTGCTGAGGCCTTCTTCAAAAAAAACAAGTATTCTAAATTCAATGGACTCTAGAAGATCATTGCATAACATTCAACGGAAAGTTTTAAAGTATATATATATATATTTATACACCCCATCTGGAGCCCATTCCCATTTTGCTGGGTTTTGAACCTAGTGGGGAGAGAGAGAGAGAGGGACACACTTTTCCATGTAAAATATTTCCATTTGACATTTCCCCCAAAAAAAAAAAAAAAAAGAAAAAAATCCACGTAAAATAAACGGAATTGAAGCCGGGTCCAATCACGACGCATACTTGTCCAAGTCTTCAGCCCTGAACCAGCACCACTTCTAGAAAACGGCACGCAGCCCTAGGTCATTCGCTCTCCACACGCCCCTCTCTCTCCCATTTTTATTTCTCTCTGAACATTGCTAAATCATTCGCACAACAAGCCAACACCACCGTTGGCACCTCCATTACTCTCTTTCATCATCCCTCTTTCTGAGTCATTAACACAACCGCTCTCTGCAATCCTTATCTTCGTCGTTTGAATGCGTGACATTAATCATGTATATAACCACTTCTTCGTCAGCTACACTCCTCAGAGCGTATAGGTCCCGGATTTCATCTTCTCTCTCATCTTTCTCTTCTCTCTCTAGATCGCCTCCCCACTCTTCTCCTTCTTTCCACACCAATCAGTACCGATCTCTCAGCTTCTCGTCCGCGTTTCGTTCTCTCCGGTGCTCTGTTCCGCGTTGGATTCACGCTACTGATTGGAAACATTCGCCTGCTCTTACTGCTCAGGGCAGACTCGTCAATCCTGTCATCCACCAGTTCGAGCGAAAGATCGCAACCATGGGTACAGTTTGTGTTTTCTATAGCATTTCCTTGATTTTTGGATTTTATTTTCTCAAACTCGGTGTGTGCATGTGTGATTTTCTAATCTTTTTGTTTTCGAAAATGAAAAATTAACTGAAAACCAAGTGATTACATTTACATTGGGAGTTTGAGCTGATATTTTCGTTTTCGAGGCCTCTAATGACGAAAAATTGTTAAGATTCGAAGTTTTGCATTTTCTGGATTGTTGGATTCTCTGTTCTCAATCTCGTGTGTGTGATTTTTCTTACTGTAATGATATACAACAGTGAAGTTCTGAATCCAAAGTAATCTAACTGAGAATCAAGTAATTACAGTTACATTGGGAGTGAATTAAGTAATTACAGTTACATTGGGAGTTTGAGCTGATGTTTGTTTTAGTTTTGAAAGCTTCCTAATTATGAAAAATTGTTAAGATTCAAGGTTTGCTTTCTTTATTTCATTTCCTACATTTTATTAGCATCCAGCCGAAGCATTGATTGCATGTGAAAAGCAACTGAACTTTTACTCGGAAAACCTTTTGTATGTACTTGATGATAAAGAGCCGGTTTCGAGGAATTTTGTAAAATGTTTTTGCATTTTGGAAGAGTATTATGAACTATTATTAATTCTGGTGAATTTTAATAAAAATATATATAAGAGCTGAATACATCGTGTCGACCCCAACAAGCGAACCCTTAATCTTCAACTTGGAAAGTAAAGGAAATACTACTTGAGCTAAGCTCTTGGTGGTAATCGATTCAATGTTTCTCTATAGGAGCAGACTACATTAGATGGGATTTTGATCTAATTTACTATCCTTACCTTGCTTTTTTATTGTATGATTGCTTTTGTGTGAACTTTGTCACTTTTTGAAGTTGTGATTATTAATAGGAAATTGCAAATCTAATTGTGTATATTGGTGGGTTCAGCCTCTGAGCATGCATTCAAGGGAATCTTGACCAGTCTTCCCAAGCCAGGAGGTGGCGAGTTTGGAAAGTTCTATAGATTGCCTGCTTTGAATGATCCAAGGATCGGTAATTCTCTAGAACTTGATTCGAGTTTTGAGCACTTGTTCTCTATTATATTCTTTTATTTTCTGCAAATCATTGTGTCTATTACATATATTTAATTGTTACCAGTCACTTACTTCATTCTAATGTCCATTTCCTTGTTGGATTACCTCTTCGTTTATTAATTTATTTATGAATGTCTGTTTTATTATTTTCCTCAATGTCATGGTGGAGGCATGGATAATTTGGGCAGTAATTAAATTATTCCTTCGAATATTTTTTTTTCTCATATTAATTTTGTGTGGACTTACTAAGAACTTATTTTTTTTGGTTCTCTTGCACGAATAACAGATAAGCTGCCTTACTCTATTAGGATCCTTCTTGAATCAGCAATCCGTAATTGTGACAACTTCCAAGTCACTAAGGAAGATGTTGAGAAGATTATTGACTGGGAAAAAACTTCTCCAAAGCAAGTTGAAATTCCTTTCAAGCCTGCTCGTGTTCTCTTGCAGGTACAGTTCATGAGTACACCATATGGGGTTGTTTTAACAAAAACTTATCCAACTTCTAAAGCTTATGTTTCTTTCTCAGGATTTTACTGGTGTACCAGCTGTTGTTGACCTTGCTTGTATGCGCGATGCCATGAACAAGCTTGGCAGCGATTCTAACAAAATCAATCCTTTGGTGCGTATTGTTGTCATCAGCTGCATTACTTTCAGTTAGAATTAGGCATAGTTGAGTCCCTCAAACTGGACATTTAGTTCCTTTCTTCAGAGTGGTTCAATCTGGTCAACATGGGATAAAAATTTCCTGATTTGAGCTTAGTAATATGTAAATGCTTGTTGAGCCTAAATGTATGTCTCCCTATATGCTATTTCATCTCTGTGAAAATGTTTTTGTACTTCAAATTTTTTTCTTCAACATTTGTTGTTGTTGTTGTTGTTTTGGGGTTGGAGAACTCCATTATGGACCTTATTAGAATTATTAGTTTTATAGCCTGTTTTCTCATTGAAAGTTGTATGCCTTGATGGCGTGTCCGGTGGATCTTGCTAAAAGTATTTTCACTACTGTTTGTTTACAACAATAAATTGCATGCAGGTTCCTGTAGATCTTGTCATTGATCATTCAGTTCAAGTTGATGTTGCTAGATCAGAAAATGCAGTACAAGCAAATATGGAGCTTGAATTCCAGAGGAACAAGGAGAGATTTGGTTTCCTAAAATGGGGGTCTAATGCTTTCCAAAACATGCTTGTCGTTCCTCCCGGTTCTGGTATTGTGCATCAGGTATGAAGGGAAATGCATGAATATATTATCTCAGTGTTACTGTCTACAATTATATGCATAAATGATGTATAGGTTTTTTCTTTTATTTTTTTTTTGTCTAATTTTTTATTTTAATTTGTATATAGATTGAAGTAAGCATTAAATTTTTAGTTTTACTGCCATGTTTCATTTTGATGTATCTGGTGTGGAGAAACCAAACAAGCTGACACAATGTTTTTCAGGTTAATCTTGAATATCTTGGGAGAGTTGTTTTCAACACTGATGGCATGCTCTACCCAGATAGTGTGGTTGGAACTGATTCTCATACTACCATGATTGACGGGTTAGGAGTTGCTGGCTGGGGAGTCGGAGGTATTGAAGCAGAGGCAGCAATGCTTGGCCAGGTAACTAATATCATGGAACTTTACAAGGGTTTTCTCCTGTTCCAAGATGGAAACTTCACTTCAATCACTATTTTTTGTTTTTTGGGCACACTGGCTACGGCTGCATTGGATATTTACTATACTTTATGCTAGTGAAGCATGTCTGTGATGTGCAATTGTGTAAAATATTGTGGCATATACTGCACATGCTTAAATTTTATCATCTCATTCTATTAGTGAATCTTAAGTATAACATCTCAAATGATTAGTAAGGATGGCAATTGGGCATGTTGCCAAGTGTACCCCTCATGGGGGGAGAGTTGTGGCGTTTCCAGAGATAAATCATCTCATAATAGGCTTGGGTGTAGGAGATGTGAACCCCTTTAATGCTATTTTACTTGCATCTTTAATGCATATGACTATACGTAATTGCATACATGCTGCAACAAATATGCAAATATGCCATGTTAAAATTTGTTGGGGGCGGGTTGGCGTGGGACTCTTAAACCTGAGATATTTTTGAACTTTGGATTGATATTAAGATGGCTTCCTCTAATTGATAGTTTCAGTAGATCACCCCACCTTCTGTTCCAACACACCCTAGTGCCACTCTTTACCATTTCATACGTTAAGTGTTATGTTGATTATTTTACTCAGTTGTTGGCATTCCAGCCCGTATATTTGTTTCTTACTTGCTTCGAGAATCATTTGTGGGCAATGGTTCATTATTTACTAATCATTAACATCTTTTACACCTCAAGTTTGTTATGCTCTCGTCATCTACAGTCTTTTGTTCTTTTTTATACTTGTTTGTTCTAATAATATACTATTATATAAGGAATCCAAAAGCATAATTAACTATTTAAAACTGGAGATTTAGGGCTAAATATATAAATTCAAATTGAACTTTAATTCAGCATTCAATGTTATGCCAGACCTCTTTGACTAAAAATTAAACCTTACTAGTAAAATATTCCTTTCAAGTGAGAACAAATTTCGTGTAGTCAAATGCATTTCATAGAGTGAGAAACTGCTGAATATTGTTAGCATTTAGCACTTAACTGGTTTATCAAACCAAAATCTATCTGGTCCTTTTATCAATTTCTTCAATCTGCTCTTGCACATGCTTTCAAAATTATTGTATTGAAGAGTTCTGCTGCATTTTAATACTACGTTTTCCACATTGACAGCCAATGAGTATGGTGTTACCTGGTGTTGTTGGGTTCAAGTTATCTGGAAAATTACGCGATGGTGTCACAGCTACTGATTTGGTTTTAACTGTGACTCAAATTCTTAGGAAGCACGGTGTTGTCGGAAAATTTGTCGAGTACCATGGTATTTAAAGCTGAACCTCTAGTAATTTCTGCTGCTTTTGGTTTCATCCAATATATATCTAATGTTTTAATGTGCCTTTTCATGTAGGGGATGGTGTGGGTAAAATATCATTAGCTGACAGGGCCACTATTGCCAATATGTCTCCTGAGTATGGTGCAACAATGGGGTTCTTCCCGGTAGATCATGTTACTTTACAATATCTCAAATTGACTGGACGAAGTGATGAGACGGTGAGCATTATTGTCATTCATGCGTGTGTCTGTGTGCACGCATGCTTATAAATAAGGATAACATCTGTCAGTTGTTGTTGTTTGTTAAATATTGTCTTCATGAGGTAGTATTCTTGTCAAAATCCAGGTGGCAATGATAGAAGCATATCTGCGTGCAAATAATATGTTTGTCGACTATAATGAGGTGAGACTCTTTTCATTTTCTTGTTTGCTAAGTTATATCTCAGGTAAAGCTGGTAAGTTTCGTCTGACTTATTTTTTCATAATTCAGCCCCAAAAAGATAGAGTATACTCATCTTATTTACAACTGGACCTTGCGGATGTTGAACCATGTGTTTCGGGGCCAAAGAGGTGTGTGTTTTGCACTTGCTCATACTCTTACATATTGACACTGCTTAGTCCATTTATTAAGGTATCTTCAGCGATGTCTAACTGTTCTATTCTCAACAGACCTCATGACCGAGTTGCTTTGAAAGAAATGAAGGTTGATTGGCACTCTTGCCTTGATAACAAAGTTGGATTCAAGGTGAGTTTTAAGCATTATGAGTGCTAAACTTCTTATCATGTTGTAACCTGGTTAATCCTCTTAGTTGACTGCTGTTTTGAAGTACTTTGATAATGCAGATGTTCCCCCTCCCCCACCCTTTTTTTTCCCTCTATATATCTTTTTTTCTTCTTGTAATGAACTTGAACCAGACACATCATCAGCATATGAAGAACAACTGATTATTTTACCAATCTATATCATCTTGATATATTGGAAAAAAGGTTATTGCCAATCAATATCTCTCATGTTTGTCGTTGTTTCAAAATGTCCAATTATGATGCAGGGCTTTGCTGTGCCAAAGGAGGCACAAGATAAAGTGGCAAAATTCTCATTCCATGGACAGCCAGCTGAGCTAAGGCATGGTAGTGTTGTCATTGCTGCTATCACGAGCTGCACAAATACATCAAACCCTAGTGTTATGCTTGGGGCTGCCCTTGTTGCCAAAAAGGCTTGTGAACTGGGTCTGCAGGTCAGTCATGGACCTCATGTTCTAAAGACTTGTGAATATTAGGTTCTGGGTTATATTCGTTTAAATTTGTATACTGTTTAAGGTCAACTCTAGTTGGATTTACCTTTTTCTGTAAGATAGTCACAGGGTTTTGATATTCACTATCTAATGTTTTGCGTATGTGCCAGGTTAAACCATGGGTAAAAACAAGTCTGGCCCCAGGCTCTGGAGTAGTTACAAAATATTTACTCCAAAGGTATTGCTTGTAATTTTTAGTACAAAATAACATTGAACATTCAGTTGTCTGATTTAATAACTGTTTCCAAAATATGTAAGGAATAAATCTAGGTTTTTGCTTGATGCAGTGGGCTGCAAAAGTATCTAAATCAACAGGGTTTTAATATTGTTGGATATGGCTGCACAACATGTATTGGGAACTCAGGGGACTTGGATGAATCAGTTTCCTCTGCAATAACAGAAAATGGTATTGTTGAAGTTTTGTTCTCTTGTCTCTATGGCTGAATAAATTAAGCAGTGACACTCTTTGGTTCTCACATATCGTTTGGCAGGATCACGATTTGACTGTTGCTCTAATTCAATTATGATCTCCTTGTGCAGACATTGTTGCAGCTGCAGTTCTCTCTGGTAACAGGAATTTTGAGGGTCGTGTTCATCCCTTGACAAGAGCTAACTACCTTGCTTCTCCTCCTTTAGTGGTTGCCTACGCCCTTGCTGGCACAGTACGTAACAAAAAATAAATATATATTTCTTTGCTGCATGTCTTGCAAAATATATTCACCATAAAGTTATGTTGAGCACAGTTGAAGGAATTGAAAGATGTGGAATGGACCAAAAGCTATTATTACGTAATGATAGTGCAATGAACATTGTAAAAGCTTAGGAGGGGTTATACGAGTGGAGATGGTCAATATTTTTTTTCCTAGTTGGTACTCTCACACACGCCTCCACTGAGACTCAAACCCCCGATCTCTCTTTGAGAAGTAGGGACTTGGTACCGCCAGGCCACTGGCCTGTTGGTGAGATGGTCAATATTGCAGGCACATAATTATGTTTCTAACATTGAAATTCATTTTTAAGAAAAAAAGTTGTCCCAAAGATGTGACACGCTCCAAAGGAGGATTCACCAAGACGCCGAAGGTTCTTGCCTTGGGTGGGTTTGGGAACCAGATATGTGTTCCTTGGGTTTTCCTTCAAAGGCACATACTGTGGTTCCTTAATACTTCATGTCTACTTCTAATCTGAGATGGGTAGAGGAAACTCTATACTCTATACAAGCTTTGGTCTTGGAGGTATGACCAATGGGATGCTTGAGGGTCTTGTCTTGGTGGTGATGGTTAGAATTGGGCTTAAGCTTAGGCAGATATGCGTCCCTTCATAGTCAGGGGCACCACCAATCTCACTGTCGACTTGAGAAGGAGGCCTAACAGTTTTCTATGCAGTTGGTTTTGCCTTGTGTGTTTTCAACAGTCTCTTGGTGTGCAGGCCTAGCACTTTAAACTCTGCAGCCAATTAGTTGCTCTTGACTTCAAGATTGGTTGAAACATGCCAAAAACCCTATTTAAGGCCCAATCTCTTTGCCCATTGACTAGAATTGGTGTCCTTTGGCTCTGTGCCTCAGTCATCCCGCGCCTTACTTCTCCCCCATCTTTCCTCTCAAGGTCACTTTGCCCCAAGGTGTTTCTGTCATCTAGACTATCTCATTCTCTTGTGTATACAATCCACCTGTGGATTCTAGTCATCTAGGATTTGTTATGAATATATTTAGAAGGCACATTCTCAAGCTTTCTTAATCTGTTTGGAGAGACATTGATTCCAGTAAGTGGACGAGATAGTAGCATTCCATTGCCTTCTTTGTCAGGAACTAGTTGGGGTTTCATGTTGATGTCCAACAATCATGTTTGGCCGATGTTCTAACTTTTGCATTTATACATGGGTTGGCTAGTCCCTTGCATAGTAAAGATATTACTAATTTTTGATGCACCTAATTTCATATGATTTTTTATTCCTGAACATGTTTGATACTTGTCATACAATCCTGAGCATGTGTCTCCTTTGTAAACTTCTATTTAAACATTATAAAGAGATTATTGTTGTAAAGGAACTGAAGGGATAATTAGTGACCACTTTTGAAGTAAAGGAACTGAAGGGATAATTAGTGACCGTTGTCTTTACTTCATGATAACTTGTGCAGCATCTTATCATCTGAAAAGCCTGATATGTGCTAATGGCAATAATTTCGTAAATATAGATTTGTTTAATTGTCATATATATAGGTTTGCATAGGTTACCTAGATAATTGCCCCTCGTCCGTCTCCATTTCTCTCTCCACGTATGATGTTGAAAGTTTAATATATATTTTTAGAAGGAATCCTCAAGACATCTCCTCCTTTTATATGTAATAGTACTTCTTAGTATTGATATTGAATCAATTCTTCACTGTATGATAATATGAAATCATTTTTCCAGGTTGACATTGACTTTGATAAGGAGCCAATTGGAGTAGGGAAGGATGGCAAGAATGTCTATTTCAAGGAAATCTGGCCATCTACAGATGAGATTGCAGAGGTTCGTGATTTTGAGATTGCAGATCATTTGAAAAAGTTGTAATAATTTATAAAATGAACTTATTTGGGATAGTATGGTGTTCAGGTTGTTCAATCCAGTGTATTGCCAAAAATGTTCAAGAGTACGTATGAGGCTATTACAAAGGGCAATCCCATGTGGAATCAGCTGTCAGTTCCGGAGGGCACCCTGTACTCATGGGACCCTAATTCTACCTACATTCATGAGCCACCATATTTCAAGAACATGACCATGGATCCTCCCGGGGCCCATGGAGTGAAGGATGCTTTCTGCTTGTTGAACTTTGGTGACAGTATTACAACGGATCACATCTCCCCAGCAGGAAGCATTCACAAGGATAGTCCCACTGCTAAGTATCTTCTTGATCGCAGGGTGGATCGCAAAGACTTCAATTCTTATGGTAGTCGTCGCGGTAATGATGAAGTGATGGCAAGGGGAACTTTTGCAAATATCCGCCTCGTTAACAAGTTACTAAATGGGGAAGTTGGGGCAAAGACAATTCACATTCCTACAGGAGAGAAGCTCTATGTGTTTGATGCAGCAATGGTGGGTTCCTTGACATTAACTCTGCATATACCTTCCTGTCTATCTATTTCTTTTTCAATTTTGTGCTTTAGTCAATTTAGTACTCCTCGCAATATGATTGGATTTCTTACTGGTGTCATTTTGTGTCAAATGAACACTTGATTTTCTTGCAATATTGGTGGAAGTAATAGCAGTTTACTTTAGTAAATCTTTTTTGCTTCAACGTTGTGAACTCTGAAGGGAACCTATTTTAAGTACTGGTCAATGTTCTCTCTCTCCCTGAACTTGACTTTCATCGCATATCTATAGCCATATACATAATTATTTTATCTGAAGTTATACCCTGTGAATTATTAATTTCAAACACTTCGTCAACCGTGGACATTGGTAATGTCTGAACATCAAAATATTGATCATTTCTTATTATGTGTATGAATCTGCTATTTCAGAAGTACAAGGCTGCCGGGCAGGATACTGTTATCTTGGCTGGAGCAGAGTATGGAAGTGGAAGTTCCCGAGATTGGGCCGCCAAGGGCCCAATGCTATTGGTGAGTTTTTGTACATGTCTGCTACAACAAATTTGCACATCCCCATTTCCTTCAGCCTGTCTAGTCCTCTGTCATCTTTTATAACTGTTAGAGCATAACAGGGAGTGAAAGCAGTGATTGCAAAAAGTTATGAGAGGATCCACCGCAGTAATTTGGTAGGAATGGGCATCATTCCACTTTGTTTCAAGGCTGGAGAAGATGCAGACTCACTTGGATTGACGGGGCATGAGCGTTATTCCATTGACCTCCCAAGCAATATTAGTGAGATAAGACCTGGTCAAGATGTTGCAGTCAGTACTAACACCGGAAAATCTTTCACCTGCACAGTTCGCTTTGACACTGAGGTAATTCTTTCTTAAAAGATCTATTTTGATGCTATGGAAAGATGAACATGTGATAGATTTGAAAAAAGGAAATCAGCATGACATAAAATGAGAACTTCCATTAACCTCACGTGTCAGGAACAATAAAACAGATACGTTGAAAGCCAAATTCTTCAGTTTTCGTCATGAAGTAATTTGGATTATTTAAGTTTTGTTGAAAACTGTTGCGCAGTATAAGTACACACACACAAACATATATATATATATATATATATATATATATATATATATATATTGCGCAACAGTTTTCAACAAAACTAAAATAATCCAAAATTCCAAATTACTTCATGATGAAAACTGAAGAATTTGGCTTTCAACGCATCTGTTTTATTGTTCCTGACACGTGAGGTTATATATAGAATCAGGAAAGGTGACTGTTCTGTATAATTTTTGCAGTGCACTCTTGATGCTTTTTTCACTGTGAAGTGCTTCAATTACACATATTCAACTCATGTACTTGTTTAACGGAACATGAAATAAATGGAAAGCAAAAAGAAAAGAAGAATTTAGATGTACGACTTATTCTAATGTGCACATATATATGATACCAGAAATCACTGGCCCTGTGATCTAGTTTTTTGAGGTTAAGGAAGGTTCAGGCTGCAGTTTTGAAAGACACTTCACCTATTGTGGTGGTACTATCCTTTTTAAGTCAAAACGAGATGGTTGCATATTTGCATATCTCACCATTTACAGATAAGAAAAAACCTCCTGATTATAATTAAAACCGGGTTGTTTTGGAATAATGCTGAATAAAAGTTCTTATGGGCGGATTATCATTGACGGTTCATGTAAAATGTTGCCTTGACTCGTAATCTGTTTGGTTTGCACCAGTACTGTAAGTGCCGCATGGTCAGTTAGATTGTGTTATTAGCCAGTTAAACCATTATATATATGTATGGACAGCTGGGCAGTTATCCCTACTTGCACGGGCATGCCTTGACAATGCATTGAGTCACCTGGTTAAGATCGCTCATTTGTGTCTTATATAATGAGTTAGACATGACTTTTATGATGTACTTGTGCTATCAGACTGTTAGGTGAACTCTCTAAATGAGAGCTGTTTACGGGTTGATGCTGAAAGTTCTTTAATTGCTTTTGCAGGTAGAACTGGCTTATTTCAATCATGGAGGCATACTGCCATATGTTATTCGGCAACTGATTACGCAATAAGCGATTTCATTGTTGGTCAGGAGCCTTTCTTCATCAGACGAGTTATAATACAATATTTGAGAAGAGAATAATTTTTTTTAACCATACAAAATTTCCTTTTCCACCGAGGGGATTCTCTTTTTCAATTCGCAAATTGTGCAAGCAAGTTTGGCTTGTTCGAGGAAGCACTGCTCTTAGAAATAAATCCTCCCCTTTTCGATGTTTACATGTTCCTAGTTCTTTCATTTCTTTTTGGATTTTGTATGAATAGATGGAAGAGCAGGTATGTTATGAACCTGTTTAGTGTAACACTAAAAAGTTTACGCCCATGAACAAGTATAATTGAGACATTTAAAGTGTCAAGCCCAATGAAATGGAAATTACATTGTTTTTGCTTCAGCCTCTGGGTGGCTTTTCTAAGTTCTGGATCTTCTTTATTTATTTCTGTTTTCTCATAGTTATTCCTTCTAGTAGAATATGCTTGGTTGATAGTCTGTTTCCTTCATCTTTTTTTTTTTTGGGTATTTGGAGAAGTAGTTTTTCATGCAAACCTACCATTGTGCTAATATCGAGCTTTAAGATCAGAAATTGAAAAAAATGTAGTAATCCATGTCAGGAATGAAAAAAAAATGTGAGAATTGCTTTTCACAGCTTTGAGCTTCTATTTGTAATGGATTTGGGTTGAAAGTATAATTTAGAAGTAAATTTAATGGTTTAGATCTAGGTTTTCACAGTGTGCATAGAATGACTTGAAAGGTGTGTGTTGATTAATGTGTCAAGTGTTGCTTGAAATTCATGCAGACAGAGATTATTATTCTTGCTGTGAACTACCATACCTAATGTTTTTAATTGGTCACTTATGCAAGAAATAAAGGAGTGAGAGCCTCCACTTGCTTGTGTTTTGTATAAATAATCAATCATTTAATTAAGCAATTCATTGCAACTCTTCGACCTAAGTATCACTACTCTATTATTTTTGCACGTTGATAGTATTCCATACCTTTAACATTTCTTTTGACCTCGCAACATAACTTTCATAGGGAATTTGTCATTCCAATCACATCCCTTCAAATCCATTGATTTATTTATAAAAAATTTCTTCATAAATTTGATTTATTTAATTTGCTAGTGTTACCTATGACATAATTTGTGAGGTTATCTACTGAACTGATTTTGGGGGGTTTTAACCTAGAAGCTTCTTTGTTCTCCGTGGATTATTGTGCTTTAACCCAAATTAGTATTTTTATTAGCCGATTGTTGAAAGATTCATCATTTCAAGACAATAATTGGTTCAAAATTAGCCCAATGGTAGCAAGGGGAGGAATTCGAGCCCCTTGGTGTACAATATGTGAAATGTGTAAGTTATTACCTAATCAAAAAATAATTATAATAATTACGAAATTAATAGTTGAATATTGGAAAAGATACAATGCTTATTAAATTCACAACATGAACTAATTACAGAAAAATATACATCTAGACTTTCACATTAATACTAAATTAAAGCTTGTACATGGTTTAATGATCGAAGTAACTCAAAAGTTCAAGCATCCACACACACATCTATTTTTTCTCAAAAGTTCAAACAAACACAAGCACCTACAATATTTCGGACTCGAACTCTTAACATCCTCTGTGGGAGGAGAACTCGGTGAGAGAGAGATCGGTGTTGACAAAAAGCACACACATGGGCATTAATGGTCCTCCGGGATGCTCTCCAAAGCTGGTCTCCAGCTTCCATTGATATCTCCATCACACGTTCGAACTCGGGAGACTTTTCTGCTTCTCAACTCCATTGCACGTAGCAATTGCTCCACAGAGTTGTCGTTGAACTCATTGTTCAAAATCTGATTCAACTCTTTTTGTGTCAACAAAACCCTAACCCTCACAACTCCATTACCACTTCTTGAACCTACATTCCCTTCTCTATGATCAACACCATTTTCTTCACGTAACTTGAACCTTACCATCTTTCTCTTCCCACCATCATCGGACGGCTTAACTACCTCACACTTGGATGAAGAAACTGATCTCATCCCTTCATATTCTTCATTTTGGATTACCATTCTATAACCTTTCATACAATTCCCCATTATAGAGATGAAAAAAAGGATATGGGTAGAGAGAGAAAGAGAGAGAAGAGAGAGAGGAAGCTGAGATATAAAGATAAAGCTGGAGAAAGCACATGAATTGCCGGCTATTACGGCGAGTGTTGGGATGAAGGAAATGAGAGATACATTGGTTGAGTTGAGACCAACGCCACCCACATAACATGCATTTTATGATAACAATATTATCTTTTTTCCATCATGCTTGTGTGTGACTGTGTAGACATATATTTCTTAGCTCATATATTTCTTAGCTTTTGTCAAACGCAATTCTTAAATACTCTGCTCCATCAAAGTATTCATATATATATATATATTTGGCAGTACTATTCATATATATATATATATATATTTAGAGATATAATTTTCAACAGTACAAAAATTAATTGCCTTCAATGCAAGATGCTCTTGTCGGATCCGTAGTCTTACTTGCACGTAAAACGACTATTTGTGATTTTAAATCCATAATCTCCTTAGCACAACAAAATAACCTTCCTTATTATTAATGACAAGGTCCACCCTCAAAAGTTGGTTTAGCTTGACAAGGCTTTTGATAATCATTGACTAGGTCAAATTGGTATAGCAATGGATATTTTTATATATGGTTATTATGAACCACATTGAAAATTTTGATTAATAAAGATGGTCCCACTTGCCACTGATGAAATGGCTACAGTACTAGTTTGCACAGGACCTAAATTTTGTTGCATATTCGTGTATTTGTCCCATGGTATCTGATGCTATGCAATGCAACTCATTTGGTTAGCACTGCTACGTTATTATGGCTTTTTCTATTGCTTTATTTAATTATCTTCTCATTTTGATATATAAGTTTTCAGTACTCAACCGTACTACCTAATATTTGTATTATAATTCGAGGCTGTACCTAAAGGTCACACCACTCACACTAAATTATGTACTGGAAAATAAAAAAATGTCACACTATCTATGTTCAAAATTCAAACTACTTTTTTTTTTTTTTTTTGAAGTTAACATAGAAATTATATAAATCGACCGAATTTAAAGTCCGAATTGAACAATATTTACAAGCAACAGAAAATAAGAGCTTACAAGCTTGATACAGCCAAGAATTTGTGAATTCCTTCTTTCTTGAGTCCCAAACATTATGAATTACTCCCTTCGTCTCAGTTTAAGTGTCACTTATTAGGAAAAGTAATTTTTAAGGGGGCATATGGGACATGCATTGTCGGCCTGAAACATTACTAACTTACCTTTTTAAATTTTGAATATTCAAATTTTAAATTTTAAATTCAAAGGACATATATGAAAAGATTTGAAATATATTGTTTGAAAAAGAAAAATAGAATATTATTTTGGGACAGATAAAAAATGAAAGTATGACATTTATTTTAAAATGGAAGGAGTAGAAAAATTAAACAATTAGTGGTCTTGAACTGAAATCTAGCCAATGAAAGGAGTCAAACTTGTTTGGATCATATATATATGATTAATGTCAACCACGGGCATTAATTAATTGAGTAGTCTAAATGTGTTCACCCACTAGTTTAAAATGAATTTTCATAGTAAATATAAACTAAATTTAACTTGTAACTCAATTTTGCACTTATCTATTTATTTATTTTGAGTTGGTATTTACGTACACATGTCTCCATTGAGGTTCAAATTTCTGACTTCCGTGTTGGTAATTTTGCATTGATCTTCTTATATAAGTCACATAGGTGCTATTCACACGTGTTCTCATTTTTACACTCCGTGCACTCTTCCACTTATGTTCTCATTCTGTATGACTTGAATTTTACTACTTTTGCACTCCCGCTTTATATATATATATATAAGAACTCACCCAAAAAAATAAAAAATAAAAACCCTCAAATGTGCATTGGCTTACATCAGGATGACTGGAGGGTGATTAGGGCATTTGCCGCGTCAAAACAATAGTGAGTGAGGGGGAATCTTTCACATGGGTTAGGTAGTTGAGGTCACTTTCTGAGTATCTTACGAAATGTTGGGAGGTTGTTTTGCTGCAGCCTGCATGTGAAGCTGACCCATTGATGCCTATATTTTCTTCTATACAATAAAAGGATAGAGACGACCACCTATTTAATAAAGGTGGCCCACATTGCTTTACCTACTTTTTTTTTTTTTTTTTTTGCCAATACCTACAGCATATTCAGCTTTATTATTATTATTATTATTAATTTTTGGAAGTTAAAAAAGAAATTGTATGTATGAAACAGGATTTGCAAGTGTGGGATTAGCCCAATCCTGTCCAGGGGCCCAAAGCAGAAGCCCAAACAATGAAAAGGGGCTGCAATTTCTTACACTCAGTTCATAAGCTTTGGGGCTTTGGGTTTTAGGTAATTAATACTGGGCCTTAACTATGTGAAACCATGACTCCATAAAAGTGAATACAGTGATGGAACATTTATTCTTCACCGTTCCAGTGTTAAGAGGTTTAATCCGGATGGGAAGGGTATTGGACTTGTAAGGACGGGTAGACGGTACCATTCAACAATTTCAACTTGTGAGTCATGTCCAGCTCATGCTTGCACAATAAATCGGTCTGTATTCAGTTGGTCTGACAATAACAAAAACGTTACAAATTCGGATAATTTTTGAATCCAATAACAAGCAGTAGACCATTACACCAAGCTACACAAACTTGTAAAATGCAAGAACACTTGAGACCCAAATAACTAATTAAAAAATCCATATTGTTATTGCCCAAAAGTGTTTATAATTGGTTTTAGTCAGAGCAAGAGTTGTTAGAAACACTTGTACAATATGCTTTCACAACATACACTGACAGAAATTAATACTGCTTTGAGCATAAAGACACCACACATGTAACATGTTGGTTGACACAGGATACAACTAAACTTCAAATTATATTTAGGCTAAAAATGATATTATATTTGTTAAAAATGGTTGATCTTAAACTCAAGCTAAGTCCACATGCTTTGCTTGAAATTTTACCAGTGCACTGTTACACAACACCGTAAACTATAGTTTGTAAGAATGTAACAGAGGCAAAGAAGGCAAAGAAACAAGTAAAAATTAGAATTCTTAAATAACCATTTAACATTAATTAATCCACATTAGATAATTAGCTTACTTAGAAGCAACCTCTTATATATATATACACACACGCATCCAACGGCTCTCCTTTCCTTGCCGCGCATCAGAAGGGTCAAAAGCCACCATGCCATTCACAGAGGAAACACTGGTTCATCTAGCTAAGCAATCTGAACAGTCAGTCAGCTTCCAAAACGCCTTGGGACCCCGCACGTACATCTCACGTGACCTTCCTTCCCCTGAACGTTAGAGCTACTTCTCTCTCTCTCTCTCTCACAGTGTGAACATATGAAAATGGTGAGAATTAGGGACTGCAAATTAATGTCCTTCACACCATTCAAAATCTCTCTCTCTCTACCATTTGTCTCTACGAATGGTATCAGCCAATTCCATATTTCCTTTTTCTCTTATTTGATTACATTTTCTTTGGTTGTCACCAACAAACATGAGCGAATTGGTATCTCAAACTAACATTCTTCAAATTATTGTATTATTGCTTCTCTGTAAGTACTGTTCATCTCTCTCCCTCTTAGATTCCTTATTGCCTACTTAATTTCTTATTCTTTTTGTATTAATTGTATGAAATTATCATATGGGTCATCAACAATTTGCTATATCTTGAAGGAAACATTAATAACTCTGGTAAATAGAGGATGTTGTATGTATCTGGTTATGTTTTGATAGAAGTATTTTTACAATTTAGACAATTCACTAAGTTCCCAATTCATCTTACATGTTAGTATATTATGTGTTTACACATAATCAAACATGTTTCTAATGTTTGTCAAGCTGAATTTTATGCCTACCATGTATTCTAGGTAATTGCTGTGACATAATCTTGAACCATACGTATATATTTCTTTTGCAGATTTACATGAGTCGCATTGCAGTTCATTGAGGAATGTAGTAGGTTTTGATTTACTGGAAACAAAGAATGATGCATTGTCTCCTGATATCTCCCCGAGCGTGGACCCTCTGCCCTTTCTTCCTCTCCTAGCTCCTTCACCATTGATGCCATTTGCAAATAATAACAGTGTGCCAAAGTTGTCAGGTACATGACATACATGAACTTGCACAATATGGTTCAGGTTATTTGCACGGTGCAGTTTCATGGACGCAATATATATACATACATACATATATGTTTGGTAAGAAGAAGTGAAGTGGATATACACCTAATTGTTGGTTGAGGACCTTCTCCATGAATGACACTTAAAACAACTTCTAGGAAGTTTTTAGACATCCTATGAAATCTGAGTTGCAACACCATCTTTTGTATCTGAATTTGTAATTGCGAATGGGGCTATAGCAGAACTAGATTAAACCATTCTCCAACCTAATATTATAAGCAGAATGCTGTAAGCACAGTATAACTTTATGATGCATTTTATCTTTCAGGACTCTGTGCATTAAATTTTTCAGCAGCTGAAAGTATATTGGCCATCACATCGATAGATTGTTGGGCTTCCTTTGCTCCGTATCTGGCCAATGTCGCCTGCTGTCCTCAATTTGATGCCACCCTAGCAATTCTTATTGGGCAGTCTAGTCTATATTCTCAGGAGCTTGCTTTGAATCTTACTCATGCCAAGCACTGCCTGTCGGATGTTGAGGCCATCCTAGAGAGTCAGGGTGCCGATGAGAATCTTCACAAGATGTGCTCAATTTATCCATCAAATCTGACTGAAGGTTCTTGTCCTGTTATAGATGTTAATAAGATTGACAGCTTTGTCAATTCTTCTAGACTCCTGACTGCTTGCGGAAAAATTGATCCTGTAAGTGAGTGCTGCAGCCCAATTTGCCAGAATGCCTTATCAGATGCTGCAAGATCTATTACTCTGAAGGGTTATGATATCTCAAGCTTAAATGAAGCTTCTTTCTTGCCTGTGCACTTAAGTGCAATTGAGGATTGTAAGAAAATTGTTCTCCGATGGCTGGCCAGGAGACTTGATCCTTCTTCTGCAAGTAGTGTTCTTAGAGGACTTTCTACCTGCAACATGAACAAAGGTAAGCGCGTGAAGATGAAATGAAACAAGGGAAATAGAAACCTTTTCTTTTGGAGTCTGGTTTTATTCTGAGTACTTAATTTAGTATAGTGTCTACTAAGGCGATAAAAATTTAGCATTTCAAATCTGGTTTTGAAAAAGATTTATAGCTTTATGTTGGCATAAATTTTTAGTTCGAGTGCCTCAATCTAAACCAATCAGATGATGATTCCACCAGCATGAAATCCAAACCAGAAACTAATAACTTTATGTTGATTCCTTATTTTTATGTCCTGTATCAACATTTTTAGGAATCCAACACCTAAGCAAGCCCATTGATGTTCATTTTGCTTCTTTTTCTATCTTTCATTGTATTTTTCAGTCTGTCCTCTGGTTTTTCCTGACATGAGAAATATTTCAAAGGAATGTGGAAATGTGATGAGCAACCAGAAAGCTTGCTGCAATTCCATGGAGAGTTATGTGTCTCAATTGCAGAATCAGAGATTCATCACTAACTTGCAAGCCTTGAATTGTGCTGCATTGCTTGGTATGAAGTTGCAAAAAGCTAATGTCTCCAGCAATGTTTATAATCTTTGTCATATAAACCTCAAGGATTTCTCCCTCCAAGGTCAGTGTTACAGTAGGCTTTTATGTGCCCCTCAAAAATAGTAAATCTTTTCCTCTCTGCACTATTGTTTGAGAAAACTAACACACGGATTTTTTTTTCCCGGTTAAATTATGATGGAAAACAATTACATCACCAGTTGGATCACCAGGTAATGCTCGTATTATGCTAGCTGTTACTTTTAAGTAGACTCTTTATCATCAAATTTACAGCATCTCAATTTGTTTGCTCATTTTAGTTAATATTCTACATCTCAAAGATCCTAATTGGCAATTTTCTGCTTATCTGTTTCTGTTTGTTCGTTTTATACTAAGGCTTTGTTGGATTCATTATTAATTTGTTTTATTCACATAGTTTCTGATCTCCCATTACACACAAATTCATTTTCTTTGAGAACTTTTCTCTTTTCTCTTTGATCGCATTATTCCATATGAAACAACACTGTATGATCATGGACATGATAATATCCTAAGCCTATTTTGTTGCCTGTCTTCCAAGCTTCTCATATTTACATGAAGTAACTTGAACAACAGCTGTTTGATTCTTGACATATTTAAATGCTAGCAACTAAGCATTCTGTGGTTATCTGATTTATTCATCTAATTAACCTTTTTTTAAAAAAATCTTGCTATTTACCCTATATTATGCATGGCTGCATGTGATTGATTGTGACGTTGAAATCATTCTTCAGGTTGGACATTGGTTTCGTTATCTATATATTGTTCTTAGTTATCAGAATACTACATTTTTTTTCTCGATAAATAAGTGTGAGAGAATACTACATTTTGAACAAGCAAAAAATTGTTTGTACGGTATTTTAATCAAATTTAACTTGTTTCTCCAACTTTTCTCTAGGGTCCGGTTGCCTTTGGCCAAGCTTGCCTTCAGATGCAGCATATGATGCAACTTCAGGAATCAGCTTCATTTGCGATCTTAATGACAACGTAGCAGCTCCTTGGCCCTCTAATTCTTCTATACCTGCTTCTGTCTGTAATACAAGTATGTATGAAATGCTATATTTTCTTTCTTCATAGTAACTTATCATTAGAATCTAAAATCGCTTTCTCCTTACAATGGAATGCTACATTTTACTTTTTGTTTTCCTTCATTTCTATGATGTTTCTTGACTGATTAATTCCTGTACCTGATGGAATTGCAGCTACCAAACTTCCTGCACTTCCCAAAGCAACATCTGCACAAAGTGGTAAGTAAGCTTTTGACTTCGCATTATTGAGAGAAGAATTTTTTTATTTCGAGGACCAAACAGGACTTTTTTTTCTTTTCTGTCATCTTAAAAAAAGTAATTATGAAGATATTTAAGATATGATAGTTACAAGACACGTAAGTAATTTGACTAGAACTTGTGTGTGCGTGTGTGGTTGTGATAGTTTGACAATGATGATGAAGTTGGGAAGTTGGAGAACCCATGTTTTTATTGTCTTGACTTCAACTTACATCGTATAAATTTAGCAAATCCATGTATCACCTTCTCATGTTTCTCATACTAGTTCATGCTAAAGCATGTTGATGCTAGTTTCTTGTGTAGTGATAATAAAAAAAAGGGTAAATTACACAAACCTTTCCTATGGTTTGCTATAATTATAGGGACCTCCCCTAAAAATGAAACTAACCTACACGGAACTCCAGATAGAAATTCTGCAATGAGATGGCACTATAAGATATTAAGAGGAATTGGCAAATAGAAAGCAGATACTTATTGTGTAGACTTAGTGTATCAAAACAGATAATTATAATTAGAAGTTCTACTAAAAATTGCTTGGGATAGAAGTCTGCTTATTCTTGCCATCAAGTCTAGGACCAATGAATTATTTAAACCAAATGAAAATCTGGCTCAATTTTAAACTTTTGTGCGTTGCAGGTCTTTTCATCAAAGAGTTGGTCTTTTCTCAGGTCTTTGCATCCTTACTGATCCTCAAGTTGCTCCTTTAATTACCATATATGTGAACCAACCGAGGTCATTTGCGGCCCAGGAGGAGTCGCGTGTCGCCTAGGAACCTCCTTACAAATTGGGGAGGGTGACAATTGTACCAACAGAAGTTTGTAACAGATGATATGGAGTCCTTTCACCATACATGTTAATTGGGGATTATGCATTTTTCGATCTATCTATATATATATATATTCTCAAGCTCTTGGTTTGAATAATAAAATTTATTTGTGTAATAGAGTAATAATCTAAGGAATATATTTGTGTATATGTAATTTTTTTCATGGAGGTAGAGGTGAATTCCAAAACTTACAGTGCCCTGACAACAATTGCCACCACAGGATCTCAAGACGAGTGAAATTACAAAACAACATTAGTATAGCCAACACTTTTGTGGAGCTATTTTTAATCTTGAGCTGATTAACACAACATTACACTTCTTCTTTGAATTGCTAGTAAGCTGATGATTCGAAGAACTTCCCACCCAAAGGGAGGTTAAAAGATTGAGCCTCGCGAGTGCGTGCATTTTGCTCAACTCTCGGGAATATATATACGCACACACATAAATACATACATAAAAATTTTAGTCCAGTGCCTCACATAAGGATTTGAGGTTAAAAGAAAAATGAAGACATGAAATAATAATTATTATTGAAAGAAAGGCCCCAAACTGGGAACAAGCTCATAAAATTAAAGTAATACAAATTGTATGGCATTTGAGGGAGGGAGGTTAAATAGAAACAGAACGGGAAGGCAAAGAAGGGAGCCAAGGAGGTTGGAAGTAAGGAATTAGTCCATCGTATATCAAGACAATTCCAGGATACTGAATTGGTTCCAATATTCTAGTGTCAAAATCATAGCAAAACACTCTGCCTCCCAGACGAAGATACACAAGTTTTGAATTGGCAGGATGAAACGCCATCAAAGTAGGATATTTGTTCAGACGTACAGTGTAGGGATCATGACCGGTGGCCTTATAGTTAATGAGGCGAAACTTCTTGAAACTCACAACCTCCTTCAACTTCCATTCACTACTTGCTACACTCTCAAATAAACTATAACTAGAAAGCCTCTTTTTCAGATCCCACATTCTGAATTGATGCTTCTCATTTAAGGCAAACCGGAGACAACCATCCGGTGACTGTCCCAAGATAAAATCCATATATCCCTCCCTTTCACTACGATGAGGCAATTTTATCAGCCACATGCGATTTTCATTTTCGGGATGATAAGCAGCGAAATGACCACAAACTTTCCAGTAGAAGATCCCACCTACTGATCGACCCTTGTAACGCTGATGCCCAAGTGAAAATTCAGATGGAGAAGTGAGAAATGATTGGGTCCAATTGCCTGTACGAGAAGAGAAACTTTTTATTGTTAATATGTGGTGTGAGGCTCTGTGTAGCATAGCTCGAATTACTTTGAAATGCACCACACCATCTTTGCTACATTCTTCACAATACAACCCATCTGAGAAATGCCAATCCTCAAAATCATTTCCCTTCTTTGGTTCTTCAGGAATAGGGAACCATTGGTTTCTGACGGGTTCCCAAACGTAGTCATTGTAAATTCGGGACCTCTTTTGCTGCGACCAGCATAGCATTAGGCCTTGAGGAGAACCTTGGGTAAGGCCATAGTTTTCAATGCAATCCAAGTTTGTAAATTTCCTTTCTTTACAATTTGGTAGAAATGAGAGCTTTGGTGTTGTCCGATCTTGTTGGTCGACAGTAACCCGAAAGAATCCCAGCAATGGGAGAAGGGAATTCTTCGCTCGGGATATGTATTTGGCACGAAAAATAGGATCAGACATCAATCGGTTCCATGTCTTCGATACACACTTGAACTTGAAGACGGAGTCTAGAGGCAATCGAAGCAAAATCTCGGTGACAAGGTCATCGCAGTATGACACAACTTCCACACTGCTTAAGCAGCACTGGTTCATTATTCTGGAAATCAAGGAGCTAAGAGACGTGCAAAAAGGATATCAATAAGTAAAGAAAAAGTAATTAAAATCAAACACACAAAAATAAGAAAAATTCTGAATAAAATCAAATAGGATAAATTAAGCGAATGCCAAAATAATATGGAGCTTCTCGGTTTATCAAACCCAACATTGTAACAGAACGGATTCGGATTCTCAGGTGCAATTTGCTCAAATAAATAATAAATTGCTCACGAGCCATCAACAAATTAAATTACACTATATAAAAAAAATAAAAAAAATCCAAATTTAAAAAGAAGAAAAAACAAAAAATAATCAGATCCCACTGAAATTGGATTTGAAATAATCGTAATTATAATTTACCTGAACCTAAAAAGGCCCGATCAAAAGAGAACTATAGGTTGTGTTTCGCTTATCCGAATGAGCTACTCCCAGTGGGATTGATTTGGACTTTAGATGGTAGAGAAGGGGGAAGAAGAGGGCAGCTTTTGTAGTGCTCCGCTTTTGGAGAGAGAAAACTAAACGCAAGGGGCCAAATATAAGCAGTGTGACAATCCTAATAATAGTAGGAAAACTATTGCTAATTAGATTAAAAATTCTCTTTTTACCCTACTTATGATGTACCCAAATTAACTTTTAGTCAGGTAAAAATCCTTTTTTTCACTTGGAATTTAATATTTATCGTGAAAAAATCTTGAACTATTAAATACTGTTAATATTCAAATCATATATATGTATTTTGCTTTCTTTCCGGTTTTAATCCATGTAGTAATTCTATCTATCTGTAATTTTTCCTATATTTTATATGTGTTTCCTTATTTTTGTTTTCCTAAATTATTGCTTTATATTTTACATATTTATTTTATTAATATACCTCATTTAAAAAATATATTTCTCTACACACATTATCACTTATTTCTCTCCATATTATATTTAGGGAAAATTACATATAAATGGAGTCAAAGTTCCATATTTACTTAGAGACTGAGTCAAAGTTCCATATTTCTCTAAAATGGATTGCTGAGGTGGCACATGGTTTTTTACTGTTTAGAAAATTGTGGTGCCTAAAATGCCCTTTCCTAACAAAAAAGTAGTACCTTCAGTTTAAAAAAGTAGTACCTTCATTTCAAAAAAGTAGTACCTTCGGAGAAAAAGTAGTACTTTCGCGGGTGTTTAAAAAATATGGTACCTGGACGTCAAAAAGTAGTACCTTCAGTTCAAAAAAGTAGTACCTTCGAAGAAAAAGTAGTACCTTCGCGGAAAGGTATTTTAGGCACTACAATTTATAAACAGTAAAAAATCATGTGCCACCTCAGCAATCCATTTTAGAGAAATATGGAACTTTGACTCAGCCTCTAAGTAAATATGGAACTTTGACTCCATTTATATGTAATTTTCCCTTATATTTATACCCTCATAAACAAATATTTTATATGGATACATATTATTCTCTAAATATTAAATATAATATACAATGTGCCCAATTCCACTCATACCACGGCACACCAAATTTAGTACTAAATTTAATTGAAATACTAAGTGTAATGGAAAGAAAATTTACTACCGACCCAAAATTTAAACTATATACTAATAAATGGTGTTATTGAAAATGACAAAACATTGGCTTAACGATACAATTTTTATTTTTGCATGAAAATCAACCACTGCATGCTTCAAAAAGGAGAGGTGAAGGGTTGAGCAACGACAATTTTGTGAAATATTGTGAAAGGTGTGCACATACTTACCTAACACAAGATAAAAAGGATTCAAAATTAAATAAAAATAAAAGTTTGTAGTTCATTGGTGGAAAATATACAATGCTATGTTAAAACACATAATAAAAACTAATTAGAGAAAAATATACATGTTAACTTTGCATTAATTCCAAATTAAAGCTCAAATTAAAGCTCCTATGTGGTTTAATGATCGAAGTAGTTCAAAAAAAAAAAAAACAATGAGACTTGCTAATTATTGTTTTTTGTTTTTGTTTTTGGAAAGTTGAAGTAAATATTACCTTAATATAACTCAACTCCTTAAAATCCGGAGAGAACAATGAGAAAGATTGGTGTTAACAAAGAGCAATATTTTTCTACTCACCCGTAAGTAAGAAACTTATATTCACCATATATGTGGTCCAACGTTAAACTGACAAGTGTCTTTATATTTAAAATAATAAAATAATAATAATAACTTGATAGCTATCCGGGTTAAACCCAAATAAATCCAAATCAAATTCTAATTAATCAGCTTAATCAACTTCGGTAAATAAATCTAGCTACAAAACATTGCATTTTACATCGATCTGGACACTCTTGAATTCAACGTCTAATCACCAATTTCCCTTTGTTCAAAAAAAAAAAAAAAAACAACAACATTTGTACCCATGACTAAGAAGGTGATACTAATTAAAAACAAGAACAATCAAATTACAAAAGACCAACCTCATAGATTCCTGCCAATAATAAAACAACAATTTCTCAAAGTAAAAATTTGAGCGCGAGAGAAGAGAAGGGGAGAGGGAGAGGGACAAAACGGATGAGGTTAAGACTTCCACGTGATAAAAGCGTGAGAAAGAGGGAGAAGAGAGAATTATAATTTGATTTGTATTCATTTGGGTTTAACCCGGATAGCTATCAAATTATTTATTTTTTATTATTTTAAATATAAGAACACTTGTTACATGGTGAGTATAAGTTTCCTACTTACCGATGAATAGGCAAGTATTGTGTGTTGACAAAAAGCACATTATGGGACATGGGTATTATATTTTGAACAAAACTAAAAGGCAATATTCAAGCAATTGAACAACAAAACTTTTTTCCCAACAAAACCCAAATTAAAGTAAATAATTTAAACAAAAATTTTAAATTGGACAAAACATATTCCATCAAATTTTAGAAGGAAAAAAAAATAAACAACAAAGACAAAATAAATAGATTTGTACTCAAATATAATAGAAGAAAGAATTAAAAAGAAGAAGAAGAAGAAGAAGTTAAATTAGACAAAACTTATTACATCAAATTTCACAAGGGAAAGAAACCTAAACATAACAAATAAGGTAAATTCAAAGGAATCATACTCAAAAACCTTAAATGGGATGAAAAAGGCCTATTTCATCAAATTCCAAAAGGAAAAAAAATTTTAAAAAAATAGTGGCAAAATTAAAATTAATAGAATAATACTGAAAGAGAATAGAGGAAAGAGTGCAAAAAAGAAAAATGAAAAAGAACTTAATCAAATAACTTAAATTGGACAAAACTTAATACATCAAATTTCACAAGAAAAAAAAATCAAAAAATAAGGTCAAAGGTAAAATCAATAAAATCATACTCAAATAGAATAGAAGAAAAAATTAAAAAATTCTTTAAATCTAAACCTCAAAAAAAATGACAAAATTAGTAAAATGAATAGAATAATACTCAAACACATAGAAGAAAGAAGTTTATTTATTTATTTTTTTAAAAAAGAACTTAATAAAAAAATTTAAATTGGACAAAACATATTCCATCAAATTCCACGAGAAAAAAATAATAAAGCATTTTCCCGTTGTTTGGTGGTAACTTAATCAAAATCCTAAATTGTATGAAACTTATTCCATCAGAAAAAAAAAAAAAAAAAAAATTCATCATCAGTATAATATACACAGTAATTGCAATACCCAATCAAAATTTTCAAACATGCAAGAAAAACTATACATTACTAATGATATGATCTATTAAAAAAAAAAACTAAAACAACTTAGAGATGTTGTAAAAAAACATGACATGCACAAGGATTCAAACTGGAAAAAACCTAGATATTTAATTAGATTCAAAAAAAAAAAAAAAAAAATCTTATATTTTTTATTAATGATATATATTTTTTACATGAAGGGACATATACATAACCGTAAACACCTCCAAAAACTAAAATCACAATTAAGATATTATTTTTCTCAATTTTGCATACAACAAAAAAAGCAGTTCTAAGTCCAAAAGTATAAGATAAATATATATATATATATATATATATATATATATATATATATAAAATACTGTAGACCAGGAGAGATGGTGGAGGGAGAGATCGGGAGAGTAGAACAAGGTGGGAGAAGGTTAATAAATAAATACGTAAAAGTCTGTCGGGAAAATAATTTTATTTTTAATAATAGGGAATATATGTAGGATTATATTGGACGTAAGAGTCTACTGAGAAAACAATGTTAATAATGGGTAGAAAAAAGGTACGTCATTGGAGAATATGAAATTCAGATTGAAACTTTTTGTACTTTTTAATACATATTATTATTAATATAAATTGCTATTTAGAGAAGAAAGGTAAATTTTTATAATTATTAACTTACTTATTAGCAATATAAAACTCTTTAATATTATAATATTAAATTTAATTAAAGAAAAAAAATATAAATATGTAATAAAAATTCTTTTTAAAAACAAAAAAGTAACATGTGATAGAGTTTTATAGAAACACTTTCAAAAAAATTCTTTTAACATGTGACCAGTTCCGGAGGCAATGTTCCCAATTTTCACAAGGATCTGTTCTCATTCTGCAATTTTATTCAGCACATAATTTGGAATCAAATTTTCAATAAAAAAAATGGTACCCATGATGATCATAACGAAACAGCACATAACACAACAGGAAGATCTTTCAATGGTGATTTATGTTAAGTCACAAGTTGAACTAGTGAATTTTACCGAAGTATATGCCATATGTGAAGGAAGATTTTTTTTTCTTTCAGTATTGTCTTTTATTACTAAATTATCATTACCATTAGTGCATTTACTGCTTTCATTCACTGCATTTATGAAATGCGTCTGAGAATTTTCATACGTTGTTGTCCTCGAAACTCTCTTTCTTTTATCAATTGGCCTTTATGCTTTCCCTTTTCTTTTTTATTCTTATTGGGGATTTGGAATTTTCTGGGTACTTAAAGCTGACCAGCCTTGATTTCTTTGCTGGATTTTTAAGACCCGGCTGTGTGTTTTCCATCGAAATTGCAAGGTATCAGTTTTTGCAATGTAGGGATAGGTTCTGATGGATTTCAGCCCACCTAAAACAAAAATTATTATATTAATTTTAGTTCAATAAAAAAAAAAATTTATTAATAGAATTAGCTCACCAATAAAGTCCAAGTCAACTCAACCATCATATTAAAGTAAAGATCTAAATCAAATAAACCCAGGGCCGGCCTTAACCCATGGCAACAAAGGCGGGCGCCTAGGGCCTCAAAATTTATGAGGCTCAAAATTTATAGGCCCATGAAAGATTGGTCACATAAAAACAAAATATTTTTAAGACAAATCATTTCAGCCTTTGTCAAAAAAAATATTGATAATAAATTATTATACTCTGTGAGATTGAAAACACCAAATCAGAATATCATTACACTGATATTTTTATAATTTTTAAAAATAATTTTAATTTTTAATTTAATGTGAAATAATAAGGTTAAATTTATTATTTTATAATATAATTTTTTAGTCAGATATGAATATTAGAATAGTATGATTACTTTTAAAAGGGATAATGTTAAAATTTTATGATCAAAATTTAAAATAAATTAAAGGGAGTCTCATAATTTTAATCTTAAAAAATATCGAAGTTATATTTACTTTTACTAAAACAATAAAAAATGCTATTGTTTCTTCAGAAAATCAGATGCATCCATCATCAATTGACCGGTCAATTTATAAAGTTGATGGACAGGTCATTGGGCCAGATTTATCCACTGTACAAACTCTTTTTGAATTTTAAACTTGTTGATCTACTACACCCAAAACTGACCCCACTCTGAAGACTGATAGCTTTGTCCCACAATTTAAATATTGATTTTGGGTATGTCACGCGCCAAGTTCAACGTGGTTAAAAATATATTAAATAAATAAATAGCACACCACTCCCCCGGATAGCGCGTGATATATACTACTCCAGAGAATAGCTTCAGATTTGCCTATATCAAATCAATTTTGACAGTACACAGGAATCTCCTCCTGCACAATATCAAATTAATATTGTGTTACCGGCCACACAACCTTCTAGTCTCTACGTCAAAAGTCTGACGCCTCACCTTCCATTTATTGACACCTCTCTCTCACTTCATCTTTCTCTCTCTCTCTCTCTAGACTATGAGCAGCGAGAGATGTACTGGTTCATGCGAACTGCAAAGTGAGAGGGAGCTCTTTTCTCACACACACAGCCTATACACAGATTCGTTTATTTTACTGATAGCATAGCCTTACAATGGTCCCAGCCCCAATTTCATCTCTCTCTATATATATATATATATGTATGCACATTTGCCATTCTCTCTTCCACCGACCCTTTCAATCTTTTTTTTCTCTCTCTCTAAAAGTACAAAATGGCCCTCTCTTTTTCTTTTACTGAAAAGTAAAAAATGTAGTGGCATCAGAAAATCACATGCTTCTTGACCAGTCAATTTTAAAATTGATTGGGTGAAAAGACCAGTTTAACCTTTCATCCTACTTTAAAATACAACCATTTCTCAACTTTCAGACTAGATCTCTCTCATTTCCTCCATTTCTCACCCCCCCCCCCCCCCTCTCTCTCTCTCTCTCTCTCTCTCTGTCTCGTCTCCATCTCTCTTGTATATCTTTCTTTCTCTCTCTCTCTAAAACTTGGGAGTCAAATCCATCAACAAAACCCTTTCTCCTCTCTCTCTCTCTCTAAAATTGTCCTCTCCAAACTCTCTTTTTATCACCTTCTGATCAGGAGACAAGACTCAAATTTGTGTGGTTAACTTGTTCAACCATTCATTTGCTATCTCTCTCCATCATCACGTTCAACTGGTAAGTATCTCTTCTTGGATGCCTTTAGTTCATTTTTTTTTTTTATATGATTTTATTGCATAATCACAACTCCATTTTCGCATTTTCTCTCTTCGATCTGTTTGTTACATGTGGTATGTACTGGGCCGGCCCTGACCCAAGGCGACAAAGGTGGTCGCCTAGGGCCTCAAAATTTATAGGGCAGAAGTTCAAAACCCATATATTTAAGTTTATCTGTCTGTCAGCAATAATCAAAAGTTGAAAACCCATATCGGCATCACTCCAGATTGTTCAAAAAATCAAAACCCATATCTTTCCGTTTCCATCGCCCGCTGTTCCAGTTCGGGTTCGCCCTTCGCAAGCTTCAGCCGCTGTCTCTCAACTCTCAAGCTTGCCCCCCCGTCTCTCTCTCCCTGCAACTGCTAACTTGTATGTATGGGTTTTGTTTTAATTTTTTTTTCTAAATCAACTAATCAAGGTCTGTAATTCTTGTTTTGCAAACTAAATCCTATTTGGTGAAGTTTATTATGATCTTTTTAAAATAATATTTTTTTTCTTTTACAATATAAAGTAACAAAATTTGCATTGCATTTTGAGGTAATCACCGTAATCTACATTTTATTTCAGCAAAACAAATATATATTTCTTATTTCTATAACTTTTTCTTCCTTTTTTTTTTTTGTCAACTATGTCTTACAAGAAAATTTGAATCTGGGCATGAAAAAAGAAAAAGAAAATTCTGAATTGGATTAGAAATCTGCAGAGATTGAATCTGAAACAATTTTTATCAACATGCCAATCTTTTTGAAGATGGAAATCTTTCCAGAACTAAAAAAAAAATCATTACAAGAACTTTGACAAGCAAAGTACTTAATAGGGTAAAGCTCTAAAGTTACTTCTTGAAAATTAAAATACGTACAAAAACATGCTTTTGAGTGAATTTCATAGTGTTGGAAGGGGCTTGCCATGAACTACCTCACATTCTGCTTCCACTAGTAGATTCTCAAATAGGATTACTAAATTGGTCAAAAGAAGAGATGGGGGTACTGAGTGGTGAATTGTTCAGAAATAAATTGGTAATTTTTTTTTTTAATTACCCAAATAGGATTTTCTATGCCTTAATTAGTCGATTGTCTAAAGAAACATTGTTAGTTAACTAAAATTGAATTAAACAACAGTTGATTTTGGTTGATATATTTTGATTTAGCCCACCCCATTGAGAAATCCTGGATGGTTTGTTTTACATAGAAATACAATCTGTGTAATGCACAAATGGTATATTCAATCTTTCGGCCATGTTTTTATTTTCAAATTTTGGTTTTTGATTTTCTTTTGATATTAGAATGCAGAATATCAGGATATTTATTTGTTAATTTTGAAGATAATTCCTAAACTGATACATTGTATTTTGTTATTGGTTTAATTTAACATAAGAGCTGAGTATAATATGTGCTAATCACATTCTACCGATAGGTGTCCAACATTTTGACTGAAAGCATAGTTTGGTTGGGTTGATACATGATACATACAGTACTTACATGGTGGTGTTTTAATTGTTACAAGTGAGATTGTGAAATTTTTTTCTCATAACTTGAGTGTTTTCTTATTTTTAGGGTTAGCATCGGGCCTTAACATTTAGCAAGGACAAGGTTCAAGAAACATGCCTCCTCAGTCATCAGGTAACAAACTCTAATTTTTTCTAAAATTTTAATTGGCATTTTTAGCTATTGGTTACGTTTATTTATTCATGTTTTAAATACTGATTTTTTGTTTTTGTTTCTACATGCATATATATAATATTGTTATGATGTGATGTTCGAACAATTTGTTAATGGGAATTAAACACTTCGAAGTTTACTTTTCAATTTCAGAATATATGTTTTACAAGTTTATTAATGCTTTAAAAACTTTTACTCTTTTGTCCTAATAATATAGGTCTCTTTTCTGAAAGAAGAGAGTTGATGGGGAATGGGTGGAATAGGGAAAAAGAAAACAGGTATGCCTTTTTTGCCTAGCTAATTGAATTATATAAATCCCCTTACCGTTGTAGTAGTGATGTTGGTATTAAAATGACCAATTATGATAGGAAGTCTCTTTTTAGTTTATCTTAATCAAATGTATTTCTATGCAAAAGGATTACGTGATTCTAGATGACGATTCTAGATGAGGATGTTAATATCAACGTTATGAGGATGTTGATGTCAACGTTGACTCTAGTGATGACGACTGAACTTTGGAAAAGAAACCCAACATTGGGTACTGTAAAGTGTTTTGATTCGAATGCTTTATTTTCAATGATTAAGATCACTTGGGAAAATTTGCTGCAAAATCCGATGAAGGGATTTTTTTTGGATATTCAACTAGAACCAAAGCCTATAGAGTGTTCAATAGAAGGGATTTTAATCCCACTGCCAGTGCTTTGTTGGTGTTGTTGTAGAGTGAGTCTCTTTTTATGTTGTTGCCCTCAGAATTGACTTTCTTAGAGTTGACTTTATGCTTTCCCTTTTCTTTTCTTTTCTTTTCATTGGCTTTATGCTTAACCAATTTGAAGTTCAGTTTCATCATTGGAATCTAGTTGTAGTTAAGTAGTTAAGGTTTTCTATGTTTTTGAGTACTTAAGTTGAACTGCCTTGATTTCTCTCTACAGGGTGCTGGTATTTTAAAACAAGGCTTTGCAGACTTGAAGGATGTCCTGATGGTTTGACTTGCAAGGTAACAGTTTTGCACCACCTGTGCGCCCAACCACTTTCATTAGTGGCGAGGCTGAGTGGCTGCTGGCCCTAGACCCCATAGGTCCTTGTACAAAACTAGGCCGTGCAAGGATACTATGGAGGTCTGCCCATATGGAGCCAGATGCTGGTATGGGCATGAAAATGAACAACCCACACAAGGCTATGTAAGTCTTTTAGATTCTTTAAGATGAATCGAATGAGTCTTGCAATAAAACTTTACATCAAATTGTGTATGTTTGTTGTATAGACATCAGATTGCATCTTTGCATTATTGTACTCTTGATATACATTAGATTTAATGATCTATCTAACTACCAGAAGCAAAAACGGAAGAAAAATTACCTAACATTGCAGGGTTAGGATTTAGGAACGGATGAAGCTGTTGGCCGTGGAGGTTTGGATGTGTGTAAGGGAAATTGTTCCCGATGAGAAAGAGAGAGAGTTACAAACAGAGAGAAATAGGGAGGTGAACCAATGAGAGAGAGAGAGCACAAGAGAGAGAGTTGCAAACACAGAGAGAAATAGGGAGGTGAACCAATGAGAAAGAGCACCAGAGAGAGAGTTGCAGACACAGTGAGAAATATGGAGATAGAATTTGTTGGATCAAGAAACAGAGAGAGAAGCCATGTCATCAGTGGGTTAAGAGTCGGGTGAATAAATGTGTCCATTTTATCATTTTTAGAATCGAAAATACTCGTTGCTATTTTTTTCTTATCCTTGCATTCACAACAACACCGCACACACAACACTTGTTTTACTTTTAACATAATTTTGTTATTATTTTTTAAAAAAATTTCTTACAGGCTGCGCTTTATACCGTATAACAAGAATATATGTTCCATGAAACATGTCCCCGGGCACATTTAAAGAAAAAATGATTTAGGTAGTTTCTTCTTATTTTTTTTTTTTGAACAATGTGTAATACCAAGTGTGGGTATATAATTAACTATATTGTTGTTGTTGCAGCATCAAGAATCTGGAATATTGACAGAGGAGTCTACGAATGCTTTTGTACATCTTAAGCCTATACACTAATTGTTGTTGTAGCTGAGCTGGTTTGCTTTTGTATATGTTACGCCTATACACTAGTTGTTATTGTAGCTTAGCTGGTTTGCTTTTGTATATGTTACGCCCATACACTAGTTATTGTAGCTGGGCTGTGTTTCCTGTGCTTGTGTGCAATGTGTTCTATAGTATGCTGATGATTCCAAGAGCTTTGCACCCAAAGGGAGGTTAAAAGTTTATTGGCATGTTATGAGCGCGTGCATCTGCTTAACTCTCAGGAATATATATACGCGCAGACATACATAAGGATTTGAGGTTGAAAGGAAAATGAAGACATGAAATAATTATTTATTATTTAAAGGTCGTTTAGGTCCCAAACGGGGAACAAGCTCATAAAATAAAAGTAATGCAAATTGTATGGCATTTGAGGGAGGGAGATTAAATAGAAAGAGTGGGAAGGCAAAGAAGGGGGCTTGGAAGTAAGGAATTTGTCTAACGCATGTCAGGACAGTTCCAGGATACTGAATTGGTTCCAATATTCTAGTGTCAAAATCAAAGCAAAACACTCTGCCTCCCAGACGAAGATACAGAAGTTTTGAATTGGCAGGATGAAACGCCATCAGAGTAGGATATTTGTTCAGACGTATAGTGTAGGGATAATGACCGGTGGCCTTGTAGTTAATGACGCCTAACTTCTTGAAACTCACAACCTCCTTCAACTTCCATTCACTACTTGCTACACTCTCAAATAAACTATAACTAGAAAGCCTCTTTTTCAGATCCCACGCTCTGAGTTGATGCTTCTCATTTAATGCAAAGACAACCATCTGGTGACTGTCCCAAGTTAAAATCCATATATCCCTCCCTTTCACTACGAGGAGGCAATTTTATCAGCCACATGCGATTTTCATTTTCGGGATCATAAGCAGCGAAATGACCACAAACTTTCCAGTTGAAGATCCCGCCCAAGTGAAAATTAAATTCAGATGGAGAAGTGAGAAATGATTGGGTCCAATTGGCTGTACGAGAAGAGAGTTTTTATTGTTAATTTGTGGTGTGAGGCTGTGTGTAGCATAGCTCAAATTACTTTGAAATGCACACCATATTTGCTAAATTCTTCACAATACAACCCATCTGAGAATCCCCGATCCTCGGAATCATTTCCCTTCTTTGTTCTTCAGGAAGAGGGAACCATTGGTTTCTGACAGGTTCCCAAACGTAGTCATTGTAAATTCGGGAATGAAATCCAAGTTTGTAAATTTCCTTTCTTTACAATTTGGTAGGAATGAGAGCCCTAGTGTTGTCCAGTATTGTTGGGCGACAGTAACCCAAAAGAATCCCAACAATGGGAGAAGGGAATTCTTCCCTCGCACTGTGACACAACATCCACACTGCTTAAGTAGCACTGGTTCATTATTCTGGAAATTAAGGAGAGACATGCAAAGGGCAATTTTATTTATTTATTTATTTATTTTTATTATTATTTTTTTAATTCACGTACATATGCCTCCACTGAAGCTCTAACTCCTGACTTCTTTTTGAAAAGTAAAGGCTTAGTACCGCTAGACCACTGACATGTTAGTGACATGCAAAGGGTTATCAATAAGTAAAGAAAAAGAAAATAAAATCAAAGACACAAAAATAAAGATATAGAAGCTGTGGGACAATCCTAATAATGGTAGGAAAACAATTGTTAATTAGATTAAAAATTATCCTTTTATCTTGTGGTTATCATGTAACTACATTAACTTATAATTAGGTCAAAATCCTTTGTTTTTTTTTTCACTTGGAATTTAATATTTATCGTGATACACACACATATATATATATATAAAATTTTTTACTAAGACCCAAAAAAACTTAAACTATTAAATAGTATTAATACCAAATCATATATATATATATAGAAGCTGTGTAACAATCCTAATAATGGTAGGAAAACAATTGCTAATTAGATTAAAATTTATTTTTTTATCTTGTGGTTATGATGTAACCTAATTTACTTAATTTGGTAAAAATCCTTTTTCCACTTGGAATCAAATATCTATAGTGTTTTATATCAATGTTGTTTTTGCATTAGTAATATTTTTAGTTCCCTTAGAATTTAGAAACCTTCTACTTGAAACTTTGAATTGAAATGAAAAAAAAAATAATAATAAAATAAACTAATATATATATATATATATATATATATATATATATATATATATATATTTATTTAAATACACACACACACACATATTATAAACATAGATTGAAATTTAAATAATAATTTGATTCTGGTCGGGCAGGATCTAGAATTAGGTTTGGTTCTATATTTTTAGCTCCGTTAGAAATTATAAATCTCCTAATGGAAACTTTGAATTGAAAATGAAAAAAATTAGTTTAAACTTAAAACTAATAATTTTTTTTTTTGAATTTTAGTAAGACAAAAATATATATATATAGACACACACACACATACTAAAATTTGAAAATAATTTTACATCCAAACAAATGTAGCCTAGATGTCAGCATTTGATATTATTGCAGTGTTATATCTGTGTTTAAATTTATGTTATTTTGCTACTCTTATAAGTTAGCTTGTGTTTAAATGGCTACAACAATGTGGCATTATTTTGGGTACTTGCTCTTTCAGGTTTTTGGTGTTTGTTATATTATGATGAATTTATTTTCTCATTTATTCTTCCTTTTGTTCGATGTGTTGCAACTTAATACTATGCTTGGATTCTAGTAAAATATAGCATTTGATATTATTGCAGTGTTATATCTGTGTTTAAATTTATGTTATTTTGCTACTCTTTTAAGTTAGCTTGTGTTTAAATGGCTACAACAATGTGGCATTATTTTGGGTACTTGCTCTTTCAGGTTTTTGGTTTTTGTTATATTATGATGAATTTATTTTCTCATTTATTCTTCCTTTTGTTCGATGTGTTGCAACTTAATACTATGCTTGGATTCTAGTAAAATATAGTGGGAAAAACATGAAATTAATTCGTTTAAAATAATTCATAATTGTAGGTGCAAATTTTTTTTTTAACCAAAAAGCTAAAAGAATAAATACAACTCACTCAAAGTAAAAGAACAATTAACAAGAATAATTCAGAGAAAAGCTTATAATGGTCAATGAATTTTATTGGAGGTCTATGCCTCTATTTATATACAAAAAGATTGTGGAATTATGGTAGGATTTGTCCTGCTTGTCCTTCAATTCGTTCCATATACAATTTTTTTACCTACAAAGTTCTTTCCTTCTGTAATTCCTTCTATGCAAGACTTTTCCCATGCAGAACTTCTTTATATGAAGAATCGTTAAGTAAACAGGACTTTGATTAATTTGAACTGGACTTGGATTAGGATGTGAATAGGCCGGACGAATTTATAACAGGTCAAGAGGTTAATGTTAATAACCTTGGGTCAGTGACAACTTTATTTGGGCTTGACCAAGATTGGGCTTTGATAGGCTTTTGAAGATCAACTGGGATTCTGACTTACTTTAATGACGTGGCTGGTTCTTATTGGAGGGGAGATTTTTCTCTCCACACTTTGCCCCCAATTCCCTCCTAAATTGAATCACGGCTTCTAATTAGAAGGGAATTGAACTTGCACGGTTGCTAGAAGTGTAAAAGGCAACTTCATATTGGCCATTGGTATTCTGACGAGTAAACCTCTTCAAAGCTTATTTCTGTCTGCACTGTGCTTTGCAGCTTCGTCTACTTATTAGGTTAGTTTCTTACTTCCCTTTCGTTGATTTAGCAATATGAACACTCCACCCACTCACGATCAAGCATAGAATATAGATTCTGAGGCTACTTCCTCAGCATCTCCTGTTTTTCTTAGAACTCATCCTGCTAAAACTTCCATCTCCTTAGATATTCTGGGTGATTCGAGTTTGAGGGGGAATGACTCTTTGCATCAAGCTGAGGAATCCATTTCTAGATCCGATGAGATTTTTACACAAGAAGAGAAAGATATGATCTTATCTTTCCATCGCATTAAATTCTCCGTTGATTTCGTAATGGAAGAATTTGAGATTCCTGGAAGTGTGAAGATCTCTAGGTATCCTTTCGATGCTGACTTTAGTTCCGGTGAGGGTGTCGGAGAGCATGAACTACTCTTGTCCGTTGGGTATCTTCATGCTCTTCGTTTTCCCCTTCATCCCTTTTACCATTTAGTGTTTAATAAGTTAGGGATTGCTCTTCTTCAAGTAAATTCTAACTTCTTTAGAATAGTTTCGGTTCTTCTTATTCACTGCAAATTAGAGGGAATCGACCTGAACCTCGCTGATCTGTTGTCTAGTTACACTATCTTTAGGCATCAAACAGAGCTGGGTCGCTATTTCTTTACTTTGTCTCTTTAACGAAAACTATGCACCCACCTTCCCAATTTTGAGGAGAAATGGAAAGAGAGGATGATCATTGTCTGAGGGAATTGGTTTGTGCTTCAGTCTGCAACGGTCCCTATTCCTCAGAAATTTGGGATCTTAGGTATAGAAGGGCTTTCTTTTTTTCACCCGGAGTGTTCCGGCTATTTTTCATGTCAGGTATTACTTTTTCGTCGTATTTATGAGTTTTTTGGTGTTTTTTCAGCATCATTTCCCTCCTCGTTAAAAACAGACTTTCCTTTTTAAGGAAGAAGGTGTGGTGAAATCCTCCATCTGCAGAGGATCTTCTTTCTTCGACTAATCTCAAAGAAATTGCCTCTGGTGCTTCAGAGTTTGACCTCATGGATCTATCCCTTCCCTCCTTTGATGTCTTCCCTTTGACCGACGAAGAGAAGAAGAGAGCCGAAGCTCTCCAGCAAAAAGCTAACGAGGGACCTCTGAATGTTATTCGCTCCACGGAGCATGAAAAGGAGGCTCAGGATTCTCCTTTGAAGAAAAAGGCCAAGAAAAACACTTCTTCAGTTAGCAAATCCAAGGTCATTGACCTGGACAAATGAAAAAAGAAGAAAGGCGAAGTTGAAGCTGAAGAAGAAATTAGGGCTTTCATCTTGGTTGACGAGGGAGAAGCCTAGAGGCTAATATTTTCCAGGACTGATAAGTCAGTTCTGCACTCAGGCGATTCTATGGTGACAGATCCCTCAGCTGCATTAGCTGTTGCTCGGGGAATGTCGCTCCCAAAGGATGAAGAGCTAATAGGAAATATGGGTGTGGAGCAGCTTCTCCCATTTGCTCC